ATAGTTATATAGGAGGCCCATTTTTCAGCTGAGAAGGAAAATACATCATCCCAAGGATTGTCATGAAGAAAATCATAAAAAGAATCCCAGTCAGCTTTAGGATAGTAGTAAGTAGTGGAATGATTGGGTGAGTCTGAAAAGGAAGTAGGAGATGAAAGATTTAAAAAGTTCAATGCATGGTCAGAACCACATAAAGAAGAAAAAGGAGAAACTGAACACAAGTTAGGATCAGAGGCCAGACATATATCAAAGGGTGAAGGTAAATGATTAGGGTTGTCAGGAAAACGAGTCACAAAGTTAACTATTTAAGTGAGATATTGAGAAATGCAGAAGTAATAGGCTTTAATGTCAGTGGCGTTAGAGCCAAGTCATTCAGTGTGATGATCATTAAAGGAACCAATAACAACAATATTGGCAGAAAGATAAAGGGTGAGGGCATGGTCAATTTGATCAGAAATAACATCTAAAAGAGTGCAGTCTTGGGAAGAAAGAGAACAATAAAGAACAAAGAGAACAATAAAGAACAAAGAGAAAGGTGATATAGTGAAGAAGTGTTAAGCCGAAGCACATAAAGGAATGGTCAAAGGATTCGAACCTGATTCCATGACAAATAGGTGAATTAATGCTTATGTATACCCCCAGGTTAAGCATATGTCTATTGGAGTCTTTGCAAATTCAAAGGATAGTAACCATCAATACTAAGATAAGAAGAAGGAATAGTAGAATTAAAATTTTTTCTCACTAAGAGCAAGCAAGTCTGGTGAAATTTGTAAGAGGTAAGATTCAACTGATGGAAGGTTGCTTCGCAGACCATGAGTATTGGTGAAAGATATATTAAAACAGTTAGGTGATGGGAATGGTTTTTTATGTTTAATATTTTGGGTTACTTGAATTAAGTTTAAAGAGAACTTGACTCATTCATAGATAGAGTAATACCTCCTAAGCAATTAGCTATACAGTTGTCTCAGTCCTGTTAGTTAACTCTAGATCGTAACATAGGGCTCTTTATGTAGCCTAGAGTGTAGTTCTATGCGCACCAAAAGGCTTAACAGGGACACCATCCATGCACAACATGGCACTTTTAATACTCTGATATTTTACAGCTGTTGATGGAATCAGCCTCTCTGAGAGCTACCACAGAGTTTGGGAAACCTTAATACCAGCCAACCTCAGAACCATTGAACTGAGTTTTAGAGCTGTTCCCTCATTAGGAGATAACAGGAAGAGTTGCATAGTCACTATCAAGGAGGCGCAAGCAAAAATCTATGAAAAGAGTCAAGAAAATCCAGCATTCATCATCCTAGGCAGGTTTACATCTACGCCAGCCTAATAGATGAAGAAGGGGTTCGAAGCTAGACAGCAGAATTATTCTCTTTGTCAAGGAGGCTTCCTATATGACAGTAGTTGGATGCAGTTACTACCCAATATGAGTGTTTTTATCGAGATACCATTTTTAGCCTTTACTCAACCAAGAGCCCCAAGGCAGGGAAATTTTAGCTGGTTGCAGTTAACATCTGCACAGTATGAGTAATTTTATCGAGACACCATCTCTAGCCTTTACTCAACCAAGAGCCCCTAAGCAGGGGATTTTGAAGTCGATGTTTGTTTCTCCTAGCCTTTGTCTAAAACACACACACTCTACAAGGCAGCAGGATATGGAGCAGGTAGTATTGGGTTGTATAATACCAGTAGCAGAGTGATCGTGATAATCCTGAACCTGACCTAACCTGGAGTAATTAAAAAGGAGCTACTTCCTGCAAACAGTACCTTAAAATATCAGAATTTTTTGGAAATGTATAAGGAAAAATATTACATCTAACAAAATACTAGAGATAAGGGTGAGCGTAGGTTTTATAATTTGAGTGTCTAGTTAGTTAGCAAGCTCAAACTGCATCAAAACAGATTTAGATATTTAAACAGAACACATACAAAAAGTAGCTTAAGGGTGAACCAACACTGCGCCAGAGGTTCAGACAGAACACAATCATACAGATAGCAACTTATGAGTGAGTCAACATCGCGCCAAAGTTTTAGACAGAAAACAAATATACATATAAAGTAGATTCAGCTAAAATAGTAACTAAGGCACCTCCAACTATATGAAAAACACACAAAAAAATAAATAAATGTATATGTATATATTACTATAGGCATGACCAATTTTAAATAGAACCGATGACAGGAAGCAAACTCCTTCCAGCTTTTGATTAGAAAACGAATCCCACAAAGCAGCAGGATATGGAACAGGTTGTACTGGGTTACATTTTACCAGTAGCAGGGTGATTATAAAGACCATACACCTGACCTTACAAAAATGTATATGTAATAATTATATATCATTTAAAATTTTGCAAATATAAAAATTCCATTTGTATAGCATTACATGCCAACGTCTGTAGAAGTAAATGTTTTTAGCATAAGTTGAGTTTGCAGGTTGTATATGGAAAGAATGTGTATCATTTATGTATAATATAAGAAAACTTTAAAATTTTGTTTTAACAATTATAAGTCTTTTTTGCTATATGTATTTTTTTGATATGACTATATACGCAGTGCCGTACCCAGCCGTAATCTCATACCGTTTTACCAGTATGAGCGCCCAAACTAATGCTCCCAAACTAAAAAATCCATGGAGCCTGGTATGGAGGCTTCGATATCAAAGAGGTTGGGGAGAGGAAAAAGTTTGTATAAATGGTAGTGCCCAAAGTAACGCTCAGTATGGTACTGATACGGCAAGATTTAAAAAAATGTAAAATGTATTTATGCCAAGGATAGATTTGAAAACAAAACTAAGGACAATGCACTAAACCACTGAGCCATCAAAGATACATATCTTGTGAGAAGCAATTTAATGTATCTCTTATACTGATTGCAATAATCAACACTTTTTATGTGGGTTTCTCTAAATAGGGGCAGCTTTTTGTATAGCTTATATAAGTAATATGATAATAATCAAATATGTTATATGTAAAAAATCCATTTATATAACGTTATATACTAGCATCTATAAGTGTACGCATCAGTATGTTAAAATAAGTTTGCGGGTCGTGTATGGAATGATTGTCTATAATATAAGATTTTTATAAATCTTTTTTGCTTAAACTGATTTTTTTTTTTGTATTTTAAGAAGCAGTAAGATTAAAAAAACCAAAAAAAGGTCATATCACTTTTTTATACTGATTGATTTAATACTTTTTAACCAGGTACTCTAAATAATTGCAATATATGGTTTTTAAATATAAAAAAATATTTAAAAACCACAATATTTTATCAAAAAACAAACAAACAAACAAACAAAAAAACATATTATAACTAAATAGAATTTTAATAAAAAAATACAATGAGAAAAGCAATATTTAATTGTAAAAAATATGTTATATTTAAATGTTATAATCCAATGTAAAACGCAATACGTAATATTTAAACATAAAAAATTGAATTCTATTATCTAATATGCGAATACAAATAACATTCAAATGTGAAAAATCCATTTGTATAAGAGCATGTTAATTTTTTTTGCACTTTAAGAATTTTTTTGAATCTTTTTTTTACCGTTTACTAAAAAACATTGAAGTAAATAAGGAATACATATAGAAATGATTGGTGTGGAATTGAAGTAAATAAAGAAGTATAGAAATAATTGGTTTCGAAAAGATATATATGTATATATATATATATATATATATATATATATATATATATATATATTTTAGTAATATTTTAGTGCTTAATTTCATTATACTATTTACCAAATTAAAGAGATTGATATTTATAGTTATGTTTTGAAAGAATATTGATTATTTAATTAATGTATTTTAATTAATTTAAAAATTATTGATTTTTAATGAGCTCAAAAATTGACATACTGAAGCATTTCACATTTTTCCCAAAAAAATGCTAGTTTATTGATTTTGTAAACAAATACTTTACTAATAATGTTTCCCTGCTAATGTTTTTAATTAGATTAAACTAACAGAATGGTTTCTTAAATAAAAAAATTAGTTTCTTATAAAAATGCCATTATAAAAAAAAAAAATAACATTCTTTGGTAAATCTTTTTCTCCGTCAATGATATGTCTTCTTATTAAAGCTCTTATTTAAAATTCAGTTTATTAAACATTTAAAAAAATACATAGGTTAAAGTAAAACATTCTATTTGTATTTAAAAACTGCTTTCATTTATTCTGCTCAAACTCATATATATATATATATATATATATATATATATATATATATATATATATATATATATATATATATATATATATATATATATATATATATATATATATATATATATATATATATATATATATATATATATAATAATAAAATTATTACACACTAAATTATTGTATAATAATTTTTATATTATGTAATGAGTTATATATTTTATATATTAATTATAATGAATTATTTAAATATGGCTTAATTTATGCAAATAAAAATTAAAATGAACAATTAATGTTCTGCTAAATTAACTTTTATTTATATAAACACTTATATAACTTTTTGTAGAATCTTAATTTGTTGTAATAATTCTTAAACTTCCTGTTTTAAAGAAAGTAAAAAATATTTTTATAAGCAATATAAACTTTTATAGCTCTTTATTTTTCAAAATTTTTATCAAATAAGTTTATCAAATGTTGTTAATAAATAAATGAATAGCTAGTGCAAAAACTCAAAGAAAATCTACAATATTATCTTATATCTATTTTTGATATCACCTTTATTGCTTTTTTACTTTTTCACTCCCTATTTTATATCAATCTTTTGACCAGAAAAAGCCATATTTGCAAAATATTGTTTCAATTGATCATGAGTTAGTGGGGCTTTGATCTTTGAAGATCTCTGAAGTTTAAAAATAATTTGTTAAATCAAGACAACCGTTATAAACTGATTATTATTTTGCTTGATGACTACAAATTATTGCACAATTTTGATGATGCAATTTGATTGCTAGACATCCTTGTTCAACCAAGAATTATATTCATATTTACAAAAAATTTTTGAATTAAAAAATTTAATTAAACAACCTTTTTGAATTAAAAAAAAAAATAAAAGTTCTTGTAAAAAGCTGTTAAGAGGAGCAGCTTGCGTAGCTTGCTGTTTGTTTTAGGTAAGCAATTCTTGGCTCTAGCATTAGTTTACTCCCGCTTAGACCTATATATATACACACACGCATATATAAATGCAGCATTAGGCAAATGCTGATGACATCATATAAAAAAGGAAGTTGCGCTGGCTTCAGTACATACATCAACTATCAAATAGCCTGACCTACAATTGAATGCTTTTATATTGACTGAGGACTTGACATGGGACAGCAATTTTTCTTTCATTATTCTTTGTTTTTTTTTTTCTTTTTCCGAAAAATTAAGGCACAGTTTTTTAACTTAAGAGCGCAAAAGTGATATTAGGAAATTAATATATATATAATTTATATATAAAATATATATATATTTTGAGCTGTCTGGGTCTTAGTACTAATATGCCCCTCCATTTCTATAATTATTTTATTTTTACTAAAATAATAAAATGCAAAATTAAAGTATATTTATTTATTTACGATTAGCAAAACATTTATTAGAAAAAGGAACAAAATATGGAAAAAGCAATTATGATATGATAACACTACAAATCAATTTACCTGTTGCTGATATTTTTTCTAGAGAATCGTTAAAAATAGTCAAAATGTGAAAGAAAAGACTGAATAATTTTTTTTTTATTACACAAAATAGCAAAAATATAATAGCTATCAGTACAAAATTTGAAATTTGACCAGAAAATAAAATTATTCTTACCTTAATTGCGACAAACTAATTTCTTTTTAAACTATTAGCTTATGATCAACAAAGTAAATTTCAAATAATTAAAATTTACTCAATTAAAACCATATTTTAACAGTAGACAAAGTAAAATAATGATAGTTGGTAGAACACCAAAGTATAACTAAATAAATAAATAACAATATAATTAAAAATGTTTTATAATACATAATATTTGCAGTTAAACATGAAACTTTCTTTTTCTTTCATAACTTTCCATTATGAGATAATAAAGGTTAAACTATAAAAACAAAAATGAAAAAATTTAAATAAATTTTACTTTAATAATTTTTTCTTGAACAGATAAGGACACATCAATAAAGAACAATGAAAAAATGATTTTTAATTACTTTTAAGTTGTAAATACTTATTATATTACCCCCTAATTAGATGGTGATTTTGGATTTTTATTAAATTTTTACAAAACCTCCATATAAAACATAATTTATTTAAAACATCACAAAAGTAAATGTTTAACTAAATAAATACAAACTATAAAACTAAAGATAAAGATAAATTAAAAATTTAAACCTAAAATATGTGATAAGCTGTGGCACTAAAAATAAAATAATCTAAAATATTCTTATTCTATTTTAAACATTTTGTATAAAAAAATTTTTTGAATTAGAAACTAAAAAAAAAGCAAATATAAATTTTTAAAGAAGTTTTTAAAAGTAAATTTAACTTCATAAAATCTCTGATTGTAATAATCAATAACACTGAACTAAATAACTAAGTTCATATAAAACATGGTTGAATATCTAACAAACAAAAACAAAGCAAAACCAATAAAAAAAACAACAAACAACTAACTTATATTTAAAATAAAGCCATCGATAGCTTCTACAAAATTAAACACCCTGTTAAGATACAATTTCAATACATCACCTACAAAACAGAACATGTTTCATCAGCTAAAATATTAAGAAATTAAACTTTATTAACTTAAAAAACAGACTTTGAAAATTACAAAAATACATACTATTTATAATTATTCAATAATTATATTGTTTATGATAATGATAAAGAGTGATTAAAAGCTGTTTCCGAGATTTATAAAGGTTAAAATAAGAAATACAGAAAACCTTACTGCATGCACATCTACAATGTCTTGTGCATTACCAGATATTAGTGTCGGAATTGAATTTTCCAATAATATACAAAGTATATAACTATTTTAATTTTTCTAAATTCTTTCCTTGTTGCACATTTGGTTTTCTGTTTCTATGTTTTATGGTTAGACCTTTGTATCAAGTAGTTTTTGCCGACCTGATGTTGAGCTCAAAAAGATTGAGGTCGGCAATTTTATTGCCGACCTCAATTTTCCCTTCATATATATATATATATATATATATATGAAGGGAAAAAAAATAGAGAAAAGTGATGTTTGAGAAAAATACACATTTGCATAATTTTGTTTTAGGATGGAAGCGGTAATGTTTGTTATATCGCTGCTCAAGCTCCAATGGCTACCACAGTAAATGATTTTTGGAGAATGATATGGACAAATGATGTTAAAGTAATTTTTTTTAATGTACAGAAAATAAATTGTTTTAATAAACGATAAGTAATTTTTTTAATTTATTTGTTTTCATGTTTAGCTGGTTATAATGGCATGTAAATTGATTGAACTTGGGAAACCTCGATGTGAACGATATTGGCCTGATGATGGACAAGAGTGCTGGTTTAATGATATTAAAGTTACTTTAGTAAGTCTTTAAATTTTAGTAAGTTTTTAAATTTTTATTTATAAAATTTATTAATTATAAAAAGTAATTATTATAAAGTTTATATGCTTTATTAAAAATAAACAAACCTGTCCAGGATAACTCTTAATTGGATTGAGCAATTATATAACATTCCTTTTCAAGATTTAATGATAATTTTTTCTTTTTATTAACATTTTTAAAAGTATTATCAAGCTGTTGCAAGTTCCTTTCATTTAATACTGAATGACTAAAAGGTTCTGAATATATATTTTTTGTTAAAGTTGTTATTAGTAAAGAATAAATGTCTTGGTAGTTATTATGTCATTCTTAAGCTGGCAAAGTCAAATTATTGGCCTCAAATGTAATTATAATATTGATAGATGTACTAGGGCTTGTAAAACCGGGTAACCAGTTTTACAATTCAAATTTTTTTTCTTTTTTTAGGTTTTACACCTGATTACACCGGTTTAACACCAGGTGTAAAACTGGGTAACTGATTTTACACCAGTTTCTTTACTATAAAAGCGAATTTTTATTATAGCTGCATTTTAAGCGAAATGTTATAATGGAATAAGATCTGTACTGAAAAAAAGTTTCTCATACTTAAGCTAAAATAAAATTTTTTATTTTTTTCATTTAAAATTAAACATTAGTTTTTCATCAATATACAGTAACAGTATTTTTTTTATTCATTATTTATTTAGTTCGAATTTAATGAACTTGGATCATCTTTTCTTTAAAGCTGCTATTTTTCTTTCCTTACTTGACAATGAATTATCTTTAAAAATACAAATAAATAAGATTGTTAAAAACTGCTACAATATATTGAGCAAAATATCTAAAATAAAACAATTCCTATCACACAAAGATTTGTGTACCATAGTATGTTCACTAATATTTGCACAGCTAGATAATTGCAACTCCATCTACTTTGGAATTGAAGTTACTATTAAAAACTGCAGTCTGTTCAAAATTATGCTGCAAGACTGGTATTTAAAGCTAGAATACAAAATCATGTAAACGACCATGAGTTTGACAAATTGCATTGGCTGAAAATTAGAGAAAGAATATATTTTAAAGTCTAATTAATAATGCACAAACTATACTGAATATATACTGAAAGCACCAACATCATTATGCAATTTAATTCACTACTCAATGTCAGAACGAAGACTAAAATTAAAGGAAACAAAATGCAGCAATCGTTTTGGTAATTAAGCATTATCCCACTATGGTCCTAAACTTTGGAATATACATCCAAATAACATCAGTGACAAAAAAAAAAACAAACTATTTATAAGAAAAAAAATTGAAGTATTGGAGAACAGTTGCGTGGTTGGTGGGCAAGTCATGATTTCTAGAAATGGCTTTAAACCATTATTAGCAATGGTACATATTGTATAATTTGGCAATCAAGTTGAAAAACTGAGAATAGTTAGGCTAACAAAATAAAAGTTTTTCAACATATTCAAAACAAAATATTAAAATGTATCAACCTGATCAAAATGTAGCTTTTGACAAACTTGTTATTGAATCACAAGTTTTGACGAAGTTGTGATTGAATCAAAGGTTCGTCAAAACTTGTGATTGAATCACAGGTTCGTTGAAAACTACATTTTGATCAGGTTGATACATTTGAGTCAATACATCTAGAACAAATCTGTTAAATTTAGAATTATATTGTTGGTAACTACAGAATCAAAATCAAGTTAAGCATAGGATTTCATTTTTTGAAAAGTCTCATGTTGTAGTAAATTCATATTTTGTATCACATTAACAGATAAATTAATGGATATATTAGATGGCATAAGAAATTCACTCTAACTTTATAACTCGTTGTAGCTTTAATGTCAGTGTTATTCTTTTTAAGTAGTTCTCTGTGAGTGACATTGTTATTCTTTTTAAGTAGGTCTCTGTGAGTGACAGTGTTATTCTTTTTAAGTAGTTCTCTGTGAGTGACAGTGTTATTCTTTTTAAGTAGTTCTCTGTGAGTGACAGTGTTATTCTTTTTAAGTAGTTCTCTGTGAGTGACAGTGTTATTCTTTTAAGTAGTTTTCTTTAATTGAAAATGTTATTCTTTTTAAGTAGAGAGTTAATTTCACATCATGTAGGTCTAAAATCTACTTAAATTATTCTTTTGAAGAAATCCTGTCACTAAAAAGTTCAACTATGTTTTATCAAGTAATCAGGATTGTAGTTTAACTTCTGAGCCACTTGTATTCTAGATGTTGTCAATAGGAGCGAACAGTTATCAAATGTTATTAAAAGTCAAAAGAAGATGCACTATTTGAATATAACCAAGGATTGAATTAACGCATCGCGATTTGCGATATCTGTTAAATTATCTGGTCTTCAAAGTTTCAGTTTATGGAAAACCACGAAATTTACGGAATAGGCGAATAAACTTTAATTTGTTAGTGAAAATGTTATGAAAAACAAAACAATAAATTTATGACTACAAAAGTAATAATACTACAGTGTTGTTACTTTTTTAACACTCTTTTATGTTACATTTATAGTTTATTGTTTGATTAAACAACACATAATCAAGATATTATAATAAAAAAATGATTTAGTTAAGTAATTCCAAACTTTAATTAAAGTAGTAATGCATCTTGAAAAAACACAATGGATATTTAAACAATTTTAAAAACCTTAGCAACTTTTACGAATACATATTTTTATAAACAGTTAAGCATTTTTAAACATCTTACTAACGGTCCGGAAAAAAAGGCGCGTTCACTTTAAAATCAAGTAATGAAAACACTGATAATTTACTTCTTAGGAGAAATCTATATTAAAAGGGGAGGGGAGGGGGGGAGGCTATAAACTTAAATTTTGTTTTATTGTTTAATCAATTAAATCATAATAAAAGTAAAGAGAAAAAAATATATTTCTAAATATACTTCTTTATAACTAAAATTTATTAAATTGAACACCTCTGTTTTTAGTTTTAAGTAAATGTCAGAACTACTCTCAGTGGCGAAACTGCAGTGGGGAAACCTTTTACAGTTATATTTACTTTGATTTATTGAATCACAGTAAATTTACTTATAAACTTACTTAAAACAACCAGTTAAGTTACTTCAGTAACTTACAGTTACAAAAATATTAAATTATCAGTTATATTATTTACTTAATATACTCAAAGACTCGCAATAGTTGGCCATACAAATGTTGCTATTTATATCTTATATATTGTTAACACATAATATTTATATCTTATATATTGTTAACACATATTAGCTAAAAATTATTTAAAAAAAATTGTTGAATAGAATATGAAAAACGCGACATCATTTTTTTATATTTTTATTTTATTAAAAGCGGTATCAACATTAAACATTTTCTATAAATATACAAGTTGTTTTTAGAAATTTTATTAAAAAAGAAATCTATTTGAACAAAAGAATTTTAGTCTTAAAATTCTCTTGTTCAAATAATTTTTATAGTTAAACTTTCTCTTTATCACCCAGCAATAAAATACAAGTAAAATAAATTATAGTAAAATAGTCAACAAAATTAAAAACAACACAGGTCTTGCAGCTGTTAGCATTAAATACTAATAATCAGCCGGTGTGTTTTCCACAAATTATTGAATCAGACTTCTTGGAACATTCTCCTCCATCAAAATTTTAAACGACTCTTTTCTTTCAAATTCCAAAACTGGAACGTTTCTTTTAAAATTGACACAACATCAGTTTGCAAGTCTTCGACAGGGTGCTTCAATTATATTTTTTTGAAAATTTTGCGAAAGAAACTTAAAATTGAAAAAAATTGGAAAATTTTAAAAGAAGAATGAGAAAATGAAGAAACAAGGAAGAATGAGGAAGAAAGTTTTTTTTTCGTAAATTGTAAATTTCGTAAACGTTTTGATATATTTATATTTTGTTTCTTAAATAGTTTTAAAAGTAGAAACATTCTTTTGCAAACATTAAACCAGTGATTGCAAAAGTTAAAATAAAAATTAAATTGTAAAAAATTAAAATTAATAAATTATTTTACTTCTGTTCAAAGAAATTTTCTTCTAAAAAAATAATTAAAGCATATTCTTAAACTTAAGTAAATATAATTTGATTCATTAAACCAAATTTTTTTGTTTCACTTTTTATTAGAAAACAGTTTGAATAAAAAATTGAATGAAAACATCAATTTAAAGACGATTTGAATTAAAAACTTAATTATACTTAAATTTTTATTAGTAATCTAGATCAAGAAACAATAAATTATAAAAAATGTGATATCTAATGTTTTTCTGCTCTGATTTTACTCATTTGGTCTATAGGTTATAGACTTGTATGGTCTATAACCATACAAGTCTATAATCTATAAACCATATATCAAAAATGGTCTGAGGGGCGGCGATGTCCGGCACTTATTTCAACCCCTGTATATATATATACATATGTATATATATATATATATATATATACATATATATATATATATATATATATATATATATATATATATATATATATATATATATATATATATATGTATATATATATACAGGGGTCGAAATAAGTGCCGGACATCGCCGGCACTTATTTCGACCCCTGTATATATATATATATATATATATATATATATATATATATATATATATATATATATATATATATATATATATATATATATATATATATATATATATATATATATATATATATATATATATATATATATACATATATATATATATATATATATATATATATATATATATATATATATATATATATATATATATATATATATACATATACACACAGTTAATTCCCGGTAATTCGAACACCGGTTAATTCTTAGTTTGTACTTTTGTTTATCTCGAACTGTTTCATTTGGTCCCTTGAAATTGTATAACTGATTACTATTAAAATTCTCCGGTTAAGTCCAACATTGGATAACTTGAACTTCATTAAGTCAAACCATTTTATTGTCCTCTTTCGGCAAACTTCTTTGGATAACTCAAACTTTTTGTATGGGAAATAATGAAATCAAAATAACTTTATTAAAAATTTAAGTCATTCCATATATAAAATAAAATACTTTAAGGAAGACATTGTATTGCATTTTTTTGCTAAACTTTTTTACTGAATATTATCTTTTAAGTGTACAGCGTGAATATTTGCTTTTTAAACTAAAAGTTTGTAACATGGCAACAATTGCAACTAAGCAAAAGTTGAATACAAAAACTGGTAAAGTCAAATACAATGCACTGAAGGAAGTATTAGATGGCATCTCAAAGTCAAAGGTCGCTTTAAAATATAATATACCAAAGAACATCTTATTTACCTGGTTAAGAAACAAGGAAAAGATTTTTGATGCTTTGGAGAAAGGAAACAACCCAAAACGTCAGCGTATATGGAAAGGATCATTTGCAAACTTGGATCAAGCCATTTTCAAATGGCTTCTGGTTGTTCGTAGCAGAGATGTCACTGTATCTGCTGTAATTCTCAAAACTAAAGCCATGGAATTTACTGAAAGAATAAATGTTACAAACTTTCATGCTTCAGATGGTTGGTTAGACCGTTGGAAGAAACAATACAACATATCAATTAAAACGGTTTCTAGTGAAGCTAATGCGTACAAGTTAAATGGTAGCACCATGGGAGGAAACCACGTTACCAACCATTTATCAAAATATAAGTTGAACCAGATTTATAATGCTGACAAATTGGGCTTGTTTTATTGGCTCCAACCAAATAAATTTTAAAATTTTAAAAATGAAAAATGTCTCGGTGGGAAACACAGCAAACTACGTCTTACAGGATTGGCATCTGCTAATGCATTAGGGAAAAAACTGCCAATTTTTGTTATTGGCAAAGCTACATCGCCCAGATGCTTTAAAAATGTAAAGCATTTACCTTGCTGTTATCGCAGTCAGAAGAATAGTTGGATGGATGGCACACTATTCAAGGAATGGGTTTGTGAAATTGATCGGCAGTTTATGAAGGAAAGACTAAAAATTGTTTTATTAGTTGATAATTATCCAGCTCATCCAATCATTGATAATCTCGAATCAATAGAACTCATTTTTTTACCACCAAACACTACCTCAAAGCTCCAGCTGATGGACCAGGGCATGATTAGGTCACTTAAAGTCCATTATAGAACACTATCTGTTCAAAAATTAATAGATGCAATAGAAGAAAAAAAAGCCGCTTCCGAAATTTACAATAATGGATGCCATGCAAATGCTTGATGTTGCTTGCGGGAAGGTGAATACCGAAACTGTTTGAAATTGTTTTGTTAAAGTTGGAATTTCAGAGAAAATGTGTTTTGACACCTCAATAGATGTGGATGACCCCTTTGAGGATCTCAAAAACCAGTTAGAAAAAATTGCTGTTCATTCATCCGAGTTCTTCCCTCAAGAAACAAAAGCAAAAGATGTCATTTCCATGGATAATTTTGTCAACACTGCCGAGCCGATAATGAATGATGAGGATATTATATCAGGCGTTTTAGGAGAAGAAAATTTTGAGGCTGAAAAAGTTAAAGATAGTGATTTTTTGATAGAACCAACTTGCCCTCAATCGGGTGATGTACGTCAAGCCCTGGAAGTACTACAAAGCTACATGATATTCAGTGACAATGGGGAGTGTATTCATAAATGTATAAACCAAATAAACTTAATTGTGGAAAAAGAATTATCAGAGAAGCTAATACAAGTGGATATACGTAGCTTCACTGAACTTTTTTCACACTTTTTATTACTATAATAGTGCATATTTAATGTTTATACTTTAGCATTGAATAAATAAAAATTGCCTTAACTTGAACTAATATCTCATTTCTGTCAAAGTTCAACTTAACGGGACTTTGCTTAAGTTGAACATTCGTCAAGTCTAACCATTTTCCTTGGTCCCTTGGAGGTTTGAGTTATCGAGAATTAACTGTGTATATATATATATATATATATATATATATATATATATATATATATATATATATATATATATATATATATATATATATATATATATATATATATGTATAACTATATAAAAAAATATTTATAATGAATCGTAAATATTAGATAAAAATAATAATAAACGAGTTATAGATACGGATTGTGTCACTCAATCAGAAATCTAATCAATAGAGAAACAAAAAAAAGGTAAACAAAAAGATTTTAGCCCTGGGGTAATTAGGTTAATACCAAGAACATAATCCACTGGCAAAAAAAAAAAATCTGTAAAACTTAAGTTTAGATTCACAGTAAAAGCAACTGACAATACAGCTAATATAAGATTGGTGTGACAAGAGTGGTCATTTGAATGAAGAAGAATTACACCTTTGATATACTATTGTTTATGTAATGGATGTACTGTTTATGTGTTAAATTATTATTTTTTTTTTGCAAATATGTTCCACAATATTTTGGTTACAATCTTTCTAGAAAATAAAAATATGGATAATACAATATTCCAGTTATCCAAATCTACTTGTTTGGATGAAGTTATTTATATAGTCATTCTTTTTTAATAAATGTATTACTAATAAAATGTGTAGCAATTTCTTATAATTTCGAATGAACATCGATGGGTTTTTTATGTTTTAAAAAAATTTTGATGCAGGGATACATTGAATTTTTTAACTTGTCAACTCGTTTTTTTTTATATATTACATTTTATATATAATACATAAATAATCACTTTTTGATTTAGAATGGATCAAGAGATTATACAAAGACATTGACACTGAGAGACCTGAAGTTACAAAGAAATGGAGTGAGTGTTTAAATAAAAAAGATTGTATATAATATTTGAAATTTCGATTGGCAGCCATAGTCATTATAAAGAAATTTACATAAAAGTTTTAATTTTTAATTTTTTAATTTTAGTTGTTTCAAATATGCTGTTTAGCATAAAAAAAGATTTTAAAAGTAACTTAAAAATAGATTAGCAATTTTTTTCTTTTGTTCTAAGAAAGAAAAATATCTTACTCAAATGCATTATACTGATTGGCCTGATCACGGTGCTCCAGAAACTACTGAACCAATTATACAATTGATAAATTTAGCTCGCAAAAAACACCCTGATGATAACCCCCCTATTGTTGTTCATTGCAGGTGAAATTTATTTATATTTATATTTTTTTGATATACATGTCTTATATTTATTATTTATATATTTTGGATTTTATTTCTTATTTTCTTTATTATCTATTTCAGTTTTATTGACATCATCAGTTTTTATTCTTTATTTTTTTCATCCACTCTTTTTTATATTTTTATTATTTATTAATTATTTATTAGTTTTTTAATTTTTATCTTTTCATTCACTCATTTTTGCATTAACAAAATTGTTTTCATATGGTTGTTGCAAAATTATTGAAAACATATCGTAATGGTTGACTTCATATACGTGAATCTTAAAGGAATTCAAAAAAAGTATTCAAATGTAAAAATAAACCCACAATACTCATAATTTAGGCAATCAAAAAGTTTTTCTAAATATTTTTACCACTAAAAAGAGCTTTAAAAAATGTTTTAAACGTCTTATGCCATAAAAAGTCAATTTTAAACAGGTTGGATTTATTTTTATTTCTGCTACAAAATTTACGCTTTGCAGCATAAATTTAGTTAAACAACAGATGTTAAGCAAATTATGCTTGACATCATTATGATTATGTTTATATATTAAAACCTAGTTGTTGCACAGCTGTTGTACAATATTTTTACAACTATTAACCTTTTGAAACGCAATTTTTTTAAATATCAAATTAATTTTTTTTAATACCATGTTATTGTTTTTTTAACATATTTTTTTTTGTACTTATTTTTTATACATTTTTTAAAACTTCCAAATTACATTGCACAATCATATTAAATTTGCACAAAAAATCTAACACAAAAAAAATCTAACTCACAAAAAATCTAACTCACAAAAAATTTAACACACAAAAAATCTAACTCACAAAAAAATCTAACTCACAAAAACTCACAAAATTATTATTTAACATAATAGTAAAAATTTTTATAAAAAATCTTGTAAATTAAATCAGACAATTAAACTTATTTGAATCTGAAATTATTATAGCGCAAATAGTATTGTTTTATGTTAATAAACTTTTATATGCAAATATTACTGTGTTACTAAATTTATGAAATATATAAAAGATAAATAGAAAAATGCCCTTAAGAACATTTATTTGAAAATAAGAATATTTATTGATATATTGCTAAAATTGAGAAAAGTATAAATATGCAAGTATATGCGCTTAACAGTAAAAATGCATAATAATGACATAACAAGGTCTCAAATGCATATTTTTCAAGTCAATAGGCAAATTCCTTATTTGCAATAAATTTACTGGAAAAGGGTTAGCATGTTTTTTATCAATATAATCGCATTGTTAAACCAAAAATAAACAAGTAATACAATTTTATTTATTATTATTATTATTTTCACTTCCAACAAGGCTGCAGCAACCATAAATAGAGTTGGAAGTTACTGAAAGAGAAAATATGAGGTTTATAAAGCAGGATAACGATTAACAGACAACTTAAAAGATTGCAAATTTTTATTTTATTTAAATTATTGGAATACTTAGGAACAGTCACAGTAAAAGGATGAGACTTGATTAAATGACCGGCAACAAAAAAATGAATTTTAGTAGATGGCACAAGAGATGCTAGCTCTTTAGAGCAGCGTCCATTAATGTACTTATCGAAAAAAGAAAAAGAAGCAAAATTATGACGATTACAATGGTTGAAGGTTGGCTGCAAGAGCAGGTAAAGATACAGGTCTTCATAAGTCTATTCCAAACCGAACTTTTTTATACTTTTTCCTTATATATCCTAGCTTTCCGGATCCGTAAAATACGGGTCTTTACCAAACCTACCATTTCTTCAAGAGAAAAAAATTAACATGGGCTCCTTTTCCCCATACGTAGAGCTTATAAGAGACTTATAATTAGGTTTATTTTTTTTCTAAATGCATTTCATTGATAGCTCAGTGGTTAAGTGCGCTGTCATCAGTGTTGTTTTGGGGGTTTAAGACCTCCTCTTTGCTTAATAAATTTTGAAGTTTTTTTAATCTTGCTTATATATTTAAAGCAAAAAAATATTAGTATAGCAAAAAAGATTTTAAGAATTTAAAATAAAATTTTAAAGTTTTTTCATTTTATAGATATTTTATACACGATTATTCCATATAATGCCTGCAAACTCAACATATACTAAAGGCGCTTACACTTACAGGGGTTTGTACATAACGCTATACAAATGGAACTATCAAGATCTTAGACCACTAAAACATAGTCATTAAAAAAAAGTTCATTCTTATGATTATGATTACAAACAAAAGAATAATATTAAAGGCTAATCTAAAAGTTAAGCGAAAAAATTTTGTGTATTGACGTCGGTTTGTGGCAAAATAAACTTTTATGCATCAAGTTTCTTTTGCATTTATCTTACATTTTTTGATTAATTTTAATTTTGTTGCATACAAATGCATAAAAATATATAAAACTGGTACAGATATATGGTTTCACAGATAATAGATTGTATTTATTACAATAGTAATAAATAAATAGTTTTTGTCTTTATTAGAATATATCCTATAAAAATATAAATATATATAGTTTTTTTTTTAACTTTAAATAAAACTTTTTTTATAGTTTTTTGACACAAAGTGACATCACATACGCAAAAAATTGTAGGTTCAGTTTACGAAAAAAATTGTAGCAACAGTTTACGAAAAAGCCTCGGCTATCATTTTTAATGGTCTAAGAATCAGATGACATAATTTTAGCCATCAGAAATTATCAAGAGAAGAACAAATCTAAAGTTAAAGTTTTAAATTTTCCACTTGGATAGACAATATATTAGGTTCATATGTTAGGACAATATGAGGTTCGGAGTTCGATCCCCACCACGTCCCTGGTAGTACCGCGCTCAACTTGTTTCTCTGCGCAGCGGTCTTGTTCGTCAAGGTTCGTGTTTCGTAGTTATAGAGTTGAGAGAGGGTTATAACCACTATTAAGTAGCCTCCTCGTCTGTAGTGGTCTTCTCGGCCTTGAGGAGGTGAATAATAATAATAATAATAATAAAAAAAAATATATATGTTTTTGTGCTTTTTCAATCTTGTCAATTTTTAAAAATATAATAACATACCTACAAAAAATCAAAACATAACAGCTTGAGCAAAAAAGACTTTATTATAAAGTATTTATTAGAAAAGTTTACTTATATTACATACGATCCTAAATAAAATGTTATATAAGTGGACTTTTTAAATTTTATAAACAATATATATAAACAAATGATGCATTTATATATATATATATATATATATATATATATATATATATATATATATATATATATATATATATATATATATATATATATATATATATATATATATATATATATATATATATATATATATATATATATATATATATATATATATATATATATATATATATATATATATATATATATATATATATATATATATATATATATATATATATATATATATATATATATATATATATATATATATATATATATATATATATATATATATATATATATATATATATATATATATATATATATATATATATATATATATATATATATATATATATATATATATATATATATATATATATATATATATATATATATATATATATATATATATATATATATATATATATATATATATATATATATATATATATATATATATATATATATATATATATATATATATATATATATATATATATATATATATATATATATATATATATATATATATATATATATATATATATATATATATATATATATATATATATATATATATATATATATATATATATATATATATATATATATATATATATATATATATATATATATATATATATATATATATATATATATATATATATATATATATATATATATATATATATATATATATATATATATATATATATATATATATATATATATATATATATATATATATATATATATATATATATATATATATATATATATATATATATATATATATATATATATATATATATATATATATATATATATATATATATATATATATATATATATATATATAGGGATGGTTAAGCGCAACAAAATTAAAAAATGATTTATATAATGTTTCTTAGCAAACACCAATACACTATACTTAAAGTTTTTAGTGCACTGCACTGCAGTTACTTTTGTCAACATATTTGTTGTATCATCCATACTGCAGCCGTTTTTCAAAACGCTTGAAGGTAAAAAAAATCAAATTTGACTTTTTTACAAAATAAGCTAGTTTAAATGTCTACAAATGTTATTGAATACATATTTTTAAAGAGTTCTGAAAAAATTCATAAAAATTAATTGTTTCAAAAAACATTTTACAAAGATTTTCTCTTAACGTATTTTTTTAATTGCGTTTTTCTTAAAATATAATAACCATATTATGGCGTTTTGAAAAATAGTTACAGCATATATTTATAGTTAAAAAGTAGATTTAGCAAAATAAACTTTTAATTATCAAAAGAAAGCTTTAAAGTTTTATCTAGCTATAGGCTTTTTTTTTTTTTTTTTTTGCCTTCACAGCAGTACCTTCATGAGTAGCAGGACTTTATTAAGTTTTTTCTTCATTAGGTTTCAATCAACTTTTTTTTCAGACTAATCGCAGCTTATTAGGACTAATTACCTGAGCACATTAATAACATAAGTTATCTCAATCATGACACATACGCAACAAACCTTTTCTCCCGATGATTAGCTTTCTTAAAATTTTTTCGTTTGTAAAAGTGTATAATATCCAGGGCTCGAATTAAGTGATCGCGAATTACGATATCTGGAAATACTTCCGGTCTTTAAAGTTTTAGCTTTTTAAAAACCGTAAAACTGTTTTGATCACTAAACAATAGATATTATTTAATAAAAAATATTTACGTCGATTATGATATAAAATCTTAATGTAAAACCATATTATCACTATTATTTTTATTATTATTAAAGATTATAATTTAAACTTTAATATTTTAATTTATTTTATAAAACATAAGATAAAACTAGAAAAATAAAGCACGATAAAGTACGATATAAATATTAAAAAACAAGCGCTAATCACAACAATCTAAAGGACTTTAACAGTGATCGAATATTTTAAATAAAAGAAATTGTTAATTAAGATATAAAATACTTTTATATGTTATTCAAATCTCATTCAATATTTTGTTATAAATTTAACGCTAGTAACACTTAAGCTGATACGAATATAAAATTAAAAGACGGAGGAGTTAATATATAAAAACTAATTCGAACTTTTTAATAGTTACTTTAAAACAAAAAAAAAAGAAACTCTAATAACATATTTAAAAAAAATATACTTTATAATTTTTTTTCCTAATAAATAATTAAATTCTAATTTAAAACATTTAAATTTTTAAATAAATAATTCCATAAATTTTCCCCATAAATAAAAATCTATTTTAATGTTTTATATAATGCGCAAGTAGCTTTAGCATACTTTTTAATTGGTTGTTTTTTTCTACCAAGTTTTATACAATGCGCAAATAGCTTAAACATAGTTTTTAATTGGTTGATTTTTAAATTACCGCGAAAGTTTTTCGGACCTTTAGTAATAATAATTTTTGTCTTGCAACTTTTTTTTATTTATAATCATTAAATTACATATTATTAATTATTGTTTAAAAAAACAATAACTAATAATATGTAAATTTTGACTGATATTATTTTTGCAGTAGTAAATTTATTATTTTGCTTTTTCATTAACTTTTGCAATATGATAAACTGACTGTTTCATTAAAACAGTGTTTACAGTTTTTAAAAAAAACTAAGAATTTAATGACCACAGATATTTCCGGAAATTGCAATTCGCGATCACTTAATTCGAGCCTTGATATCGTTACATATATTTGTATATAATCTCTATTAAACTTCAAAAGTATTTTGTATTTTGAAATAATTGAAAAAAAAACTAAGAAAAAAAAATAACGCCATTGGTAGGAATCAAACCATGTCTTATGTGTTCAGAAAAGCTTAGCGTCTATCCCTTCGGGCACACTGGCACATTGTTAAGCAAAGATTTTTAAGACTATATAAAGATTTTTTTGATGGAAAAAAATGTTATAGAATAAAATTAAGGAGAGCTTGACGCAATAGAATTTTCAAATGAAAATTACTCTGTAAAACTTGATAAATGTTTCAGTATGTTTTAACATTACTTAATTTAAAGTTTATGTACGTTAGATTTTTGCATACGCATTTGTTCATGTTTTCTTATAAAACAAAGCTTTAAGAGGCTTCTCTCCTCTCCAGGCTCCTTTCCACATCTATTTAATGTACAATAAAACCATTTATTACTTTTATCAAATTATCAGTAGAGCGAAAAAATTCAAATCTATTATGATAATCAGAAAATAAGATTCAAGATTAAGTGTTTGTTAATTAAAGACTTAAAAACTTTGCTTATAATAGGAAGAAGACTAATGGGATCATCGTTAAATGAGTCAGATTGCTCTCCAGAATTTTTGACAGGTATGTTATCCAAGCCAAAAGCTGTAAATCTAAGCAGGAAATTACTTTAGATACAGAAACTGGAGTGATAAAAAGTGATTGATGAAAAGTTCTCAACAAACAATTCAGCTTTATCTTCAGGTGAGGTACCAAAATCTGAACCATGCAAGAGAGGAGAAGTGACAAAATTTTCCCTTATTATAGACACTGTTAAAAATTCTCCAGAAGTCTTGGGGGCCTAATTTTTGAGGCTTTGGCGTTAGACAAACCTTTTTACAATGGTTTCTAGCAATAGTAAACAGATATCTGTTTTCTGGAGAATCAGTTTGATGATAGCTATGGAAGTAATGGTTACGATTGGAAATTTCAGCAGCATAATGAGAGCAAAACTATGAAGAAAAGTGAGGCTTGGAATTGTCCAGAGGAAAAGAAGAGTGCGACTTGGAATTGTCCAAAGGAAAAAGAAGAATCCCTACCAGCCTGAATCTAAGAAGTTATATCAGAAGCGCATTTGTCACCAGGAATATGAAAGATATACCCAAGGGCAAAAAAAGTCAGTCTTACAACTACCTTAAAATCAGCTTTAAGGTAGTTGTAAGAGGTATGATGATTGGGGGATTTTGATGATGAAGAAGAATGAGATAATAGTTTTAGAGATCAATTATATATAATATAGAGAAAAGCAAAGTAGGAAAGTTAACTATTTGTTTTAGTGATTGAGAAAGGCAAAAGTTGTGGGCTTTAATTCCTGCAGAGACACTGATACTAGAGCCAAATCATTCAGTGTGATGAGCATTAAATTCACCAACAGTAACAGTATTGGCTGAAGGGTATAGAGAAAGGGCTTGGTCAATTTGATCAGAAGTAACATCGAAAAAAGTGCAGTCTCATTCATAAGAGATGAATGAGAGAAATATAGAACAAAGAGAAAAGCAGTAGAGTGAAGTGGTGCTACATAAAAGCACATAAAGTCTGTGGATTCAAACCTAGTTTCTTGACAAATGGGTGAATTCTTAGGAAGGTAAATGCCCAGGCCAAGTATGTGACTATTGGAGTCTTCACGAGTTAAAGGAAGAAACAATCAACACTTAGAGACAGCTGAACTCAAATTAGTTTCACAAAAAGCAAGTAGGTCTGATAAACTTTGCAAGAGATAAGACTCAACAGAAGAAAAGTTACTTCAAAGACCACAAATAATAGTGATTGATAGATTCAGAGAACTTGGTGATAATGATGGTTTTTTGTGTTTTATAGTTTTTTTTACTTTTTTATTCATTTTTAGATTTGTTAAAGAACTTGGCTCAAAGCACAGATAGTACAAAATTGCCTCATTAATATTAATAAACCCTAAGCCATAACAAACATCCGAATAGGGACACCATCAATGCACAACATGGCACTGTTAGTATTCTAATACTTTACAGTTGTTGATGGAATCAGTCTCCTTGAGAGCTACCACAGAGTTCGGGAAACCTGACTACCAGCTCGCCTCAACCATAAAGCTAGTCAGAGACACAAGCAAAACCCATGCAATAAGTCAAAAAGATCCAGCATTCAACATCCTAAGCTGAAAATAATATATTATGAATACATAAATGCCAGCATAATAGTTAAAGAAGGGGTGTGGAGTTGGTCAACAGATAGAATCTGTTTACCCTATAGGGTATATACCTATGTTATTATTTTTATTATTATTATTAATATTATTACTATTATTATTATTATTATTATTATTATTATTATTATTATTATTATTATCATTATTATAGTATAAATATTATTATTAAGTATTATTATAGTATAAATATTATTATTAAGTATTATTATTATTATATATTATAGTTATTATTATTATTATTATAGTATTACCCTATAGGGTAATATAGATATTTTAATAAGTCTATTTTGTTAGTTTTATATGTATATTAAGACCTAAAGTAAACTTAATATGACTTTTCATTCTAATTTTTTAATGTTTTTACCTCTATCTTTTGTTGTAATTGATTACATAAAGTTTTGAACATTAAATTTTTTCAATATTAGATACTTTTGTGTGTAAATACTCTCTGCTCAAACTTTAACCTTTTTTTTTGCATATAAAAAAATTAAATTAAATGTAGATGAATAATTTATAAATGTGTAAATTATTTAAAATATATATAGTGCGGGATGCGGAAGGACTGGAGCTATTATTGCAATTGACTACGCAAGGAAGTTGTTAAATTTGAAGGTTTTGTTTATATATTTTTATTATCAATTTTTCAATTAAAATTTATATAAAATTTAAATTAAAAAGTTATAGAATAATAATATAACTATGCAAATACTAATATTTTTTCTATAATATATTTATATTTTTAAATTAAAAATTAAAATATTTATATAGTGAAATTTAAATAATTTAAATTTTTAGCGAAATTGAGGGTTTCTATTGGGACATAAATAATCTTTAATTATATTGATAAGTTACAAGTTTGTAAAAATCATGGATTTTTGGATGTTGGAGTGACTGTGATTTAAAGAATATTTGTTACGTAACTGCAGTTTTAATAATATAACTAATGTTTTAAAATGATGTTTGTTTTGCAAATATTTCAACCACATCAATAAAAAAGTATAAAAAATTGTTTTATTATCTTAATTGTTGTAACCTGGAACATTCTAGTTAAACAGGTTAACCCATTGTTAGACATCCAAATCACTCCAGCGTCCTTTGCTAAAGTTGTTTGTCAATACAAGTTCCTATCAAAGTCTTGCCAAACTGTTTTCCAGAACTCTCTTCAATTCTATCCTATCTATTTAATAAGGGCTTTTTTGAATCTTGTTTTCCTGCCTGCTGGAAAATGGTGGAAAATGAAATGGTTCATTTGTGGTTTAAAAACCCTGGAGAACATTCTTATCCTTCCAACTATCATCTTATTAGATTTTATTATCTTATTATTATTATCTTTCTAACATTATTCTAATATTCATTCTAACATCCTTCTTATTCTTTTTAACATTAGCATAGTCTTTAAGTCTTTGATCAACAAGTTTTTACGATTCCATCTTGAGTCACTTCTTTCTTTGACAATCGGTTTTGGATCTTCTCGTTCTACTGCTGACTTGCTAACTGCTATGACTGAAAGATTCTATTGTGCATTAGACATATCTAAAGCTTTGGACAAAATTTGGCATGATGGTCTTCTCTATAAGCTTGATTTATATGGTGTATCTGGAAAGGTTTTTATCAAATCATTTCTTCTTCATTTCTGCTAACTTCTGTGGTACCACAAGGTTCTATTCCTGGTCCTGTATTGTTTCTTATCAATATTAACGATGTTCCTGAAAATCTTACATCTAAAGTGGCTTAAATTTATTCTCCTGTATTGTATTGTTTAGAACAGGCAGCCGATTTTGAATCTTATCCCACTATTTTAACAGCTTGTGGGTTGCAGTGGCTTATGAATTTTAACACCAACTTAGTTATGATTCATTATTGACCTCATTCAAACCTTATATACAATCGATTACAAGGTTAGCATCTGCTAAGGTGGCTTCTCTTTATTGTACTTCACCATTATACACCATTGCTTCTCTTTATTGAACTCACCATTACTCCTGGTTCCATTCTCTACTAAACTAAAAAGCAAAAACAAAATTTTTCTTGTATGGAATACTGTTTTCATATTTAAGCTGGTACTTCTTATGATATTTTTTCTCTTCTAAAAAAGGTCCAAAAACCATCTAATTCTCTCCTTACCATACCTTAATCATGTGAGTCGATCTCTGACTTTGGCATAGTTTTCTAACAGCTGATTTTCCCTAATAAAATGTTTCTAATTGTTTTTAAAGAAGTACATTTTTAATGGTTTTTATTGAATGTTCATAAGTTAACAATAAATTAACTTTGGATTGGCTCTAATTTAATGAAATATAAAAATACTTTTGTGCTCAGTAGTTTTTTTTAGCCTTTCTGATCCTGCATGATATTAAACACCTGCATGATATTAAACACCTGCATGATATTAAACACCACCTGTTGTTTTAAATGTCTTTAGAGTTCTATCTTTTATCTGAAGGGATTCTCTAAATTTTTTTATTTTCTTGCTATTTCTCTATTATTGATCATTAAGCCAGGCCTTCATATCTGTTATTTGTCACTTTGTTGATTTGCTATATATATAATACAATGTTATATATATATATATATATATATATATATATATATATATATATATATATATATATATATATATATATATATATATATATATATATATATATATACTTGTGATAGTAGCAGCAGTAATATGCTAGTTTTTTTATTTATTTAAAAAATGGATATCTATTTTTTTGCATACAATTTGTAAATCAAAAATCTAAATTCTTCAAAGCTACCACTAACACACTTCAAATTTATGTGATATATAAAGGTTCTATGCAATATATAAATCTTTTATCCTTTCAACTTTTATATGTTACAGATAACCTTTATATATTACATAGAACCTTAAACCTGTTGTCTACTATTTTTTAATTTTCTCACATCTGATTAAAATTACCATGTAAACATTTCAGTTTTTTTTTTTTTTTATGATTTTACAGAAAGCGTATGAAGTTGATGTTTTAAGTATTGTGTTGGATCTTCGTAGACAACGACCATCCATGGTTCAAGCAAAAGTGAGAATTTATTGTTACAAATTTTTCATATTGTATCTTAAAAATTTATATATCCTTATATATATATATATATATATATATATATATAATATATATATATATATATATATATATATATATATATATATATATATATATATATATATATATATATATATATATATATATATATATATATATATATATATATATATATATATATATATATATATATATAAATATATGTCAGGGGCTTTTCTAGGCTGTTTTCGACAGTTTTGACCGTATTTGATTGCCAATTTGGGTGCCGCCCAAATTAAAATTTGAGGACCTTTTTTTTTTTTTACGTTTTTTATGGCAAATATTGCTTTTTTTGCAAAAAAACGCTAATTTTTCACTAATTTTTTCCAGGATTGGGGTACCGGCACCCAAATTTTTTTCCTAGTATAGGCCCTGTATGTATATATATTGATGGCCTAAAATGAAAACCTCGTAAGTCTGAAGAGCTGAACTTTACAAAAAAGAAATAATTTTTTTTTTTTTCATATATAATACTTATATCTAATACTGTATTTTAAAATATGTTTTGAACAGCTTGAAACATTTACATGCACGATTTAGTTTAGTTTCCATACTATTTGTTTAGTTATATTATGTAGAATTGCAGTTATTAATTACAGATTTATGATTCTGGTTTTCATTCTGGGCCATCAAAATTCAATTTTTTTTTTCCGAATTCTAACACTCATGCCTTCTTTTCTTTTTTTATTTGACTCTTAAAAAAACTTAAATAACAAATATTATTGATAATGATAACCCGTGCCAACTTGACGCCAAAGTTTAAGTTGAAAAGTTAGTATAGAGTTTTTTATATTCAGTAAATAAAACTTATTTGTAATATTTATTATGTATTTAAATTAAAAGACCTATTAATCATTAAATTTAATTTTCAAAATTTGCTTTTTACTATCAGGTTTTACGTTTCTGTGTTCTTGTAGGCAATGTAATAAAAATTGTTTTTGCTCCTCTTCAACAGTGATTAAACCATGAAAGTCTTGCATTAATTTCACCTTTCTACCGTATCATTAACTGCTCTCAGTGTCAATAGCTTTGTTTTAGCTTGTTGGAGCGAATCATCATTTGATCATAAAGAAGGGCTCTTCTTCGGGAAACTATCATCAATTTTGAGTCGATTAAATAGGAACTTGTTTTTGGCAGTAACAAAGTCATCAATGTTTTTCTCCAAAATTAAAACAGAAGGAACGGTTATCAATTGTATGGTAAACTATAGAAGAAAAGCGAAGCTTAACTTACATATAAGACATACTAAAAAGTGGGCCACAAAGTTCTTCTTTGGATGCAATTTAACATTTATCATGGACTGATGGGTTTTCTTTAGCTTAGTTAGCAACCATTTTTATTTTGGTTTCTTGAGCGACAGCATTGTCAAATAAAGACAAAACAGACTTTTATTTTGGAAATTTCTTATTTTCTATAAAGTGAACACTTTCTGAGCATGTTTTTTTGTTGTTTCTATAATATCCATAATTTCTAGGCATGTTGTCACCTGCAAAAAGAAAGTATTTTTCATTGTTGATGACCAAAAGCGATTTCATATTATAGAGCTGATTAATGAGTTTCCTTCTTTTTTTCTTTTCCTTTAATTGCTGTTCAATATTTTATTTTAGAGTCTTTTCACATTTTATATATTTATTATTCTTTTTTTTAAATGACGACCATTTGTTGATTGGTTTACACTAAATTTATGACCCGTTTTTCTCTGATTGATTAATTCTCATTAATTTGGCTTTTTTTTCTCCTCTCCATGATGTTGGACAACCAGGTTACTTTCTATCAGAAAAAGTTTGAACAGTTTCAAACCTTTTAAGTTATCATGTATTGTATTTTAAAATTTTTTTTTATTTTTTGAAATGATTTACAATTTCACTTTGTCAATTTCGCATTGTCAATTATTTTCTTGATATTATGTTTAATATCAAGTTCATGCTTTGCTATAATATCATGATAGTGGTCATAATTTTTAATATAAGTCTTTAAACAGTTTAAACTTGAGAGTTCCAACTTGTATCATTGGGAAGTTGTGAAAAATCCATTTCTATTATACAAAATCCCTGAAATACAAAATTTAGAACTAGCTTAGTTGATATATTAACAGAAATTCACTAAATAAAAGGGTAAAAAAAATTAAAACTGTATAAAGGGCAATAAAAATAACAATATTTAATGTTTGGTTGGCTATGATTTTGGAAGTATTTATTAACAAAAATTTGGTGTCGCATGCTTCTCAACTAAATTTAAGTAAAGAGCTGATGTACCTATATGTAAGTAACAGTTGATATTTGTCTTCAAGAACGTTAAGAACTTTTTCTTTTTTTTTTAAGAACTTAATCTTTTTCATTTTGTTCTCATTATCTGTACAAAAGATAAATACCATTTGGAGGTAGACAATTAAATATTTTTACATTTTTAGTTTTTTAGAATTAAAGTAATTAATATTGTACAGTACTTTATTACTTACATTTTGCTCATAAACCTTTTTGATGCTTTTTATTGCTTGAATGGCTAATTAAGTACAATATTCTGAAGTTTTCACTTCCTGAATCTATAGCGGAGATAAAGTATGGGGTCTTTCCATTATATACACTGTCAACAATAATTGGATCATTTCTGATGCTGCTCCAACCATCTTGTATCGATTTAATAGTACTCCTATTGTTTAAAAATTTTTCATAGATAATATTTCATAACTACTTCATCATTAACTTTATCCAATAACTCTGCTGAAAGTTTCTTCCGATTTGAGGATTATAATTAGGTCTCAAAAAAATTCACAAACTTTTTAAATTCTTTTTAAAAATACCAAAAAAAAAAATTATTTAGGTTTTTTTTTTTTAAAAGTCTCAGGGTTTTTTCCAACCCTAATTGAAGTCATCCTTGAAGACTCTTTATTTAATTCTTCTTATTTATCCCTGTATGGAATACTGTTGTCGTATTTGGACTGATTCTACTAATGATACTCTTTCTTTTCTAGACAAGGCCTAAAAATGTGTTGTAAATGTAGTTGGACCTGCTTTATCTGCCAAACTTGAGCCACTCTTCCACTGTTAAAAGATCTCTTTTTTCTACAAATACTCTTATTCATTTCTTCAACTTCTGTGATACTGTAATACTTGCTTGTTGATCATGTATTTTTTCTTATATACATTAATGACTTTCCTGACAATCTTACATCTAAGTGGCTCTATTTGCTGAAAACTCATATTTATATTGCTGTCTTGACAAAAAGTCTTCTCTTTTCAATTGTTTAAAATATTCAGCCAATCTTGAATCCCATCTCTCTTCTATAACAGCTTGGGACTTGCAGTGGCTTGTAAATTTTAACTCTGACACAGTTATTTACTGCAATCTATCATTTATATTACTTGACAACATCAATATATAATTTTGTTGACATTCTTTTATTGATGAATGACAACTCTCTCTCTCACTCAATCCTCTTCTTTAAATATATCCAATCCGTTGCAAAGGTAGCATATGCTACCTTTTCTATGGTTGCTTCTGTTTATCATGCACGTCATTATCTTACTCCTTATTCCATTCTCTACTTCTACTAATCTCTTATTCGTTTCTGTATGGAATACTGTTGTCATATTTGGGCTGGCTTCTTTTAATGATATTCATTGTTTTCTAGACAAGGTCCAAAACAATCTAGTTCTTTCTATTCATAGACTACCCAATTCTCCTTATTTATCCCTGTATGGAATACTGTTGTCATATTTGGGCTGATTCTACTAATGATGCTCTTTCTTTTCTAGACAAGGCCCGAAAATGTGTTGTAAATGTAGTTGGACCTGCTTTATCTGCCAAACTTGAGCCACTCTTCCACTGTTAAAAGATTGCATCTCTTTTTTCTACAAATACTCTCATGATCGCTCTTCAAACAAGCTATCACCACTAGTTCAATCAACCTATTTTTGAGTTTTTGAGAAATGTTTAAGTTTTTTTTAACCCTGTATTTGCTCTTTAAAACTATTTCTTTCAACTTAATAGTGGTTGCTTGCAGCCTTGTTGGGAGTGAATTAGTATATTAAAAAAAAAAAATAAAGAACAGTACAAAATAATTTGGAAATACAAAAACTTGAAAATAGAAAAATAATAAAAAATGAACTCAAGTTAAGTATGAATTAAAATGAATAAACATTTTATTTTTAATTGTATATATATAAATATTTTTGTTGAAAAGTTTAAGTTAAAAAATATTATATTTTTTCGATAGGAACAATTGGAGTTTCTATATGAAGTTATTCGTGAATTGGTATCAACAGAACTTAGTAAATATACTGAGCCAAATGAAGAGGAAACTTCTAATTATGTTAATATAAATTTTGTACAAAAGGTAATTATTAAAACTTTACAAAATACAATTTTTTTGTGTCATTAAATAAAGATAATTACTTTTAATTCATTCAAATTCATGGATATCAATATCTGTTGACATTGCACTAATGTGCTTTAAGATATCAATATTTTAATAAAATATTTTGAAGATTTTTAATACAAATCATAAATTATTGTAATATAATAATATTTGTTGTAATATATTTTTTAAATTAAGTAAGTTTCTGTATTTTTATTTTATTGAATTTTTTTAACTTTTTGTAGTTAATTATAATTAGTTGTAGTACATAATAATTTTTCATTTGAAGTTATTTTTTGTCTTTTTTTTTTTATTTTAATTTAATTTTTATTTCTGTTTAGTGTTCACTTCACTTTCGCGAAGTGTTAACACAAAGTTTTTTTAACAACTTGTATTGTTGTAGTGTTTGTTCTTACTTAACTCTTAATGAAGATAGTTAATCTAATTTCCTCAGGTTGAGATATTATAAAGTTTAAAAAGTTATCTGTAAAACCCTAAAAAAAAACCTATAAACATGAAAGTACGTGAAAATAATTTTTTAAGGCTTTTAATGTGTGTTGTTTTTAAAGCTTTCGGTAGACTTAAAAATATACGTCAACCATGTAAACTGAATTATAATTTGATTTTCTTTAAAACCCGAGAATGAATTATATGAACTCTACAACAATTTTCTAGTCATAAGTCATTTATAAATCTTTGTTAACTTCACTGGTTTAAATTAATTTTTAACTTACAGAATGTATCAGGCTCAAAGCAAAATTTAAAAGCAGAATCTCCCAGGTTGGCAGCCAAAGAGAGACAGCAAATGACTGGTTTAAACATTAATCGTAATAAGAGCTTATATAATTCAAGACCCAAAAAAGGTAAAAGGTAAAATTTATTATAAAGTAAAAATGTATTTATAAATTTTAAATTTTCTTAAGACTGTGAATATTTTTTTGCATCTAATTCAGTAGCTATGTCTAAATTTATATCTATTATAATATATATATATATATATATATATATATATATATATATATATATATATATATATATATATATATATATATATATATATATAATATATATATGTGTGTGTGTATATGTATCTTTAAAAGATAATGATCCCAAAGTTATCCATGAAGAAGTCACCCGTGGTTATCAAGCAGAAAGCTGTTATCAAGGAAACAGTAGAAATCAAGATAAGTTGTTAGAGCAAATTAAACAACAACATCGTAAGTTTGTTTGCTTTTGTATGGGTAATTTCACATTCAATCCTAAGTTTTTTTAAATTTTCAGGTCCTTGTATTTACTTTAAACATCTTTGCTTTTGCATTTTAAAAATATAAATATACATAAAAAATTTTGTATTGTAATATTCTTTGAAATGTTAAATAGTTTTAAAACTATTTTAATTTTAACACAAAATGCTTCAAAACATGACTGGATTTTTAAGAATTTACATTCAAAAATAGTTTTTATTTTTTTATTTTTAGTTATTTGTCACAAAAAATTTAACTAAAACAAAAAATAAAAATGCATAAAGCTATAGTTTTAAAAGCATACTAATTTTTTCAAGAAACTACTAAAAGTAACTAATAGAACTCTGATTAATTATTAAATTTGATTGAATTATTTGGTTTGTTTATAGAACTATTTAATTTAATTTTTAAAAGTCAAGCATAATTAGGTGACCATTTATTATTTAAACAACTGAAAAACATGACCTGTTAATTTTTTACACTAATTTTCATATAACTCTTAATAATATCAGAGGAATGTGAAGGCCACCAAGATTTCATTAATATTTTAAACAAATTAAAAACAATTATATCAGGCTGCAACATTAAATTATTATAGAAGTGGCAGAAGTTTTATAATGGTTCTATGGTTATGAGTGGTGTTTTGGATAAATTTGAGTACTTTTATCCAAAAGCTCCCTCTGCATCTGTTAGCTTGCCTCAAATTATCAAGTGACAAATTATCAAACTTAACAATATTATGTGAAAGACATTCTACAAAATATTTGAAAATGTATTTTATATGGCAGAAAACTTGTAATCCATTCAATGCTAACAAAATCACAAGTATTTGTAAAGTTAGATTTATTAGTATGATTATGAAAGTTAGTTTTATATATATTAAAGTTAGTTTATTAGTATATTTATATATTTTTAGTTTATATTTTCAAAATTTCAACAAAAAATTTTTACATTTTCTTTATACTTTTTTTACAATAAGTCATAACAAAAAAGTTTTATACAAATAAACTTCAATAATTTCAAAATAACTTCAATAAAATCATTCAATCATTATACTATTAGGAAAGTTTTTTACTCATTCAAAAATCGTCTCTCTATATATAAAATAACAAAAAGTCTCATGAGAATACTTTTAATTACAATTGAAATAACGCGTGACTTTCAACACGTATCTACGTGATTTTTAACATGCACAATTCACCAACATAAAAAAGAGATTACGCCCTCTTGGTGAATTAACCCATAAGTCTAATCTTTGGGGGGGTCTTACTCACAAAAAAGTCGCAAGTTACGGAGCGTGTTACTCACAAAAAAGTTGCAACTTGTTATTATTTTTTTTTAAAATTCCTAAAATTTCATTCAAAACCTTTAAAATTTATGCTCTCAGAAGTAAAATGAAAAATTACACCCATCAGCGAAATGGTATGGAGTCCATCTATGAAAAAAACAAACTAAAAACTTCTTTAATGTAATTCAAAAGAAGTATTAATTCAAAAGAAGTATTACAAAGAATAACTCTAATTCAAATAATTAGTCAAAATTTGCTTCATTTAGATCATAGTTGTGCATTTTGCCAGGTACAAGTGTTACGCATTCTGTTGATATTTATGCTTATCATAAAAATGTCATATTGCTAGTGGATGGTTTAAATATTGATGGGGTTTATAAGGATTTACTTACAAAAACTGTTTGCTTAGTAGAAAATTAAGAATGCATGCTTGCATATTGTTATAATTGTCCTTGTAAAAAACCACTCACCACAAGTTTGTGAGAGATTTTTGAAGAATATGATATTGAGATTATTTTTTAACAATCAATGGCTTAAGTTGCGACAAGCAATGACAAACTACAACTTATGCAACATTATTGAGTTAGACAGCAGATGTTCATGGTTTTCATTAAACTGTTAGTATCTTGCTTTAAGAGGCTGCACCCCTTTTTTATTGCCTACTCTCAACCACAGAACCTTAATTAACTAAAACAAAATATGGATCAGTTAAGCATTATCAGTAATTGTGACTTGTTAGAGAGTTGTGCTTTCATAGTCAATGATGAAATAAGGAGATATACTAATATATCACTGGAACACTCAACAATGTTCTTTAGAATCATTAAAAAATAAGATAAAAAAAGGCGATAAAAGTGATACAGATTTCTTATATTTGATGACATTACCCACGTTGTAACCTATTTGTACAAAGTATTTTAAGTAATTGTACCCGCAATGAAAACAAAATTTCTCAGTCTGTCAAAATTAGATTATTCACAAATGGTTGTTAAGGTTGAAAAAAATTGCAATACCAATATCATAAAAATATGAGATTATTGCAAAAAAAAAAATAAATGAACAAAAAAACATTGAGATTTCAAAGTACTTAAATACAAATATTGATGACATTTTTTTATATAACTTGATATAGTTCAAGGTACAAAAGACAAAGCTAATGTTCCTAACTTACAGCTAACCTTGAACAAAAGCAAATCTACTCAAATTTGCCTCAAATCAAACTTTTATTGGTAACTACTTTAATAACTTGTATACCAAACAGCCGTGGTGCAGCTGTGGAGCAGTGCTTAGAGTTCTGGTTCAAAATCAAATGCTCATCCACAGTGTTCTGTGATATGACTTATAGTCTTCTCGAACCAAAAAAAAATCAAAAAAGAACTAAAAAAAAATGAATTTAAATATTTCATTTTAGTTAGGCTGATGGAGTTTTTGATAAACCTTGAAGCCAAATTAATAATAGGTTTGACCTTTGCATAGTTTTAGTGAAATTTATACTATTTTTAAAATATTTTTTAAATTAATTGATTTATGCACTTCAACATTTGCAGCATCCAAATGTTGTTGGTACTTACTCTCACCTGGCAGAGAAGGTGGGGGAATTTTTTCTTATTTTTACTTACCCCTCCTCCAGAACTTATTAGAATTTCTTGTTTATTAATTTTGAAGAAATATAAAATCTTTTTTAAATAAAAAGTTAAATATCAATATTGCCTTTAATGGCTATTCAAGGCAGTGCAAAATTTATAAAAGCTTTGCAATCTATGCTAAAAGAGAATTTGGCCTTAAAGCTGATGCTTTTTTCCGTGTCCCACACAAAGTCACCATGCAATATGATCAGCGGTACTGTAAAAATGTAAAGATTTTCAATCAAATTCTCGCATCAAATGCCATTCATGAATTTTGTATTAAGAAAATCAAGTTTCTTAACTTCATTATTAACTTTACCTTGTACGGTTAGCCTTCAGCAGTTTTAGTTATCTTGGAGATAACCAAAAAAAAACTTAAGTTGAGACAAATAGGTTTAGTGTTAGTCTGATAGAAATGGCTAATTTAAGAATTAAATTTGAGTTTTTGTACCCAAAAAGCCCATCTATATCTTTTAGGTTGTCTCAAAGTGACAGTTACTACACAGCAATTCATAAACTTAAAAAGAAACAACATATATATCATGCTCTTTGCATGTAAATCCGAGTTTCTAAGTTTTCAAGTGAAGATCATAACATCTTTATCATATTTTTTTTTTTTGTAATTTCAAAATTTGTTATAAACATGGGTTTGTTATGAAAATTAGATGAAAATTAGATACAAAAAAGTAAAACTAATAGAAACAATGCTAGAAGTTACCAAATAAAATGTTTAAATTTATTTTGGTATGATGGGTTAAGGTGCTAGCAAAATGATTATCTGAGAGGTGTAAGTCGTGTTTATTTGGTAGGTGTAAGAGGTCATATAAATGGAATATAACCTAATAGTATTTGTTATATTCCATTTATTGTTACAGTATGTCAAAATTGTGAAAATATAGTGCAATGTGATGCAATTAAGAAACCACCTGTAACTAATTAATATAAATAATATTTCAAATTTCATATATCCCAGAGGACCTGTTAATTAATCTATAAACTATAAATTGTTATTGCTCCAAGAGATTTAGCTATCTTAAAGTCTAGGTCATGATGTTGAACTGATTATATATTAGGGCAGGTGAAGATTAATAGCCACGGTAAAGACAACTTACCTAGGAGGTAAGAGGAAAATTCTGATAGTATTTCCTCTTTCCCCCCCCCCCTCCTCCTCATCCTCAAAAAAAATAATATCAAAATAAAAAATTTAAAAAAATTAAAAAAAAAGAGTTTTTGACTGTAGTGGAGCCTTTAGGAGATGAATTAAATATTTTTTAAAATTAAGTAATTCAAAATAATAAAAGAAAATATTACAAGGGGTTTCATTTTGAAGTTTGAGAACATAATAAAAGAAAATATTACAAGGGGGTTCATTTTGAAGTTTGAGAACATAATAAAAGAAAATATTACAAGGGGGTTTATTTTGAAGTTTGAGAACTTTTAGGAATGCTCCTCTAATCAAATTTTTTTTTATATATTAATTATTTGAACGTATTTTTACTGAAGTTTTTAAAAAGTAACCTAAGCTCTAAACTAAATTGAGTTGAGTTGAAAAAAAAAGTTTTATAATAATTAACTATTATACTATTTAATATTATTAACTTTTTTTTATTGCTTTTATCATTTTTTTTAGATAATCAACAAAATAAAGACAGTAAACCATCCTATATGCAGCAAATGTCTGTTGATTCTTTGATGCAGTTAAAATCTAATCAATTAAATTCTCAAGGTTTTAATGATGCTTACCTAAGAAACAATACTGAAAAAGAAAAAGCAAAAACAACAGTCATACCGCCCAACACACTTTTAAGTACAGCTGCATCAAAACTTAAAGATGCAGAAATAAATGACGATGTTTTTCAAGTTTTAGAACCTACTTCAAAACCTTTTGAAGTTGTTGAAACCTCTGACATTATTTTTGAAAAAATTGAAGCAACACGCCCTTATGGGAAATCAGAAGAAAATTGTTTGGCAATGAAGCCAGACAATGTTCAGTCAGCAAAGTTAGATACAAATTATCAGTCTGTGAGTTCAGGTATAAATAGTCAGGCAGTGAAATCCCAACTTCCATCGACAAAATGTATTTCTGAAAGTAAAAATGGTATTAAGGACAATTATGCAGTAATTGAAAAGAACAAAGCCAACTCTTTTAGTAACACGCAACTCAATAATCCTTATTCTTCACCACCAGGTTTGAGGTTTGCTTTTGTAATAGAGAAGTAAAATTGTTATATATAATATTATTCAATGATGTATTAATATTAAGAAATTTTATGTATTATGTTTATGTGTGTGTTGTCATTTTAATGTTCTGGTTGTGGTTGATCTTATATTGGGGCAGGTAAGGCTCATTAGTTGTGGTGAAAGCAATTTATCTAAAGGTATAATATAAAGGTAAGAGAAGTTAAGGGTAGGAAATGCTTGTGAACATTGGATAACAATTTCCAATGTCATAGTATCACAACAATAGTATTCAGTTCTAGTTTGCAAAACAGGTTAACACCAAGAAGGACAAGTTATTAAAAATTTAACTTATCCATGTCATATTTAAATAATAAATATGGTATTCTGGAAACTTGTCTGACCACACAAGTGTGGAAACATGGACATAAAATTGCAAAAAATAAATTAGTTAATGACATATCAAAAGTGATGCTCATGATTTTTCTGACTTTCAAATATATTTGACATTTTAAATTGAAAGTGATTTCTACTGGTTTTAACATCAAAATGTAGAATTTTATCAATAAAACCTGAGCTGGTGAATCTTTATACACTCTTTTTATGCAATTGAAAGTTTCAAAGAATATTCTCTGCTAACATGACTAAATACTTGATACAATTTCTATTATTAAGTTTATATTCCTAGTTACCCACTGGTTTAATTGCCAACATCTACTTTATCAGAATCAGCCATGGCCTACTATAGTAACAGGCCGAGTAAGCACATAGCTTTTAAAAAAACTGTAGGCGAGTTTTTTTTATGGAAGCATACATATTTTTTGGTTTTTAATAAATAATGAACTATATATACGTCATAAATGAAGATTTTGGTAACGAATAAATGAATTCAACCTCCAAAATGAAAAAATTGTATTTTAAATGCAAACAACATTTCATTAAATATAATACAGTAAAAGTGCACTTTGGTCAGCAAAAAATTGTCGACTTTGTTTTTATGTTTTATGGTCTAACCTTTGTTTCATATTCTTTCTGCTGACCTAATGCTGACCTAACACAGATTAAGGTGGGCAAATTATTGTCGACCTCATTTTTCCTAATTCCGAGGGCTGTTTCATTAGATATAATATAGTAAAAACTTTTTATTGTGCAAAAAACTCTTCTTTTTTTTCTCAAATTTTTATGATAAAATAACTTTTCAAAAAAAAACTACAGTTATTTAAAATATATGTAATATTTTTTATATATAATATAATATATATATAAAATATATTCCACAATTAACTTCAAAGTTTTCATTTTGGGTTCCTTTAAAGATCGCAGAAAATAAAGATGGCAATAGTTTAAAAATAATATATTGGCAAAGATTCTACAATGTTTTTGAAACATTGGTCAATCCATAAAAGTCAGATACCATCAACAAACAGTTACACCTACTGTCTTATCACAAAATACTCTTAAACAAGTTGACACATTTTGACGTTCAATTGGTTTAGGAAAAATCACAGTTTCACTAAGTTTAGAAAATTTTACAATAGCATCTTTTTCAAATTGAAAAAGTTTCTTAAGATCTGACCTTTTTGCAGTTTTTGAAATACCTTGTTCTTGGCATTTCTGTGAGCCAATTATTGCAAATAGATTTTATTATATGAACAAAATCATATAGAAGGAAAATGTTATCATTAGTGCACTAAGTATTACTGAGGTAAATATTCCAAAAAATCTTTTATTTACTTTGTTATTGCTGCAAAGAATAGCACCACCTCATTTAATTGTTTCAATTTTTAATTGTTTGCATTGTTTGATAATATTGAAAATTAGTATCTAAACCTGTTACTGGTAATGCTTTATTCAAAAACACCAAACAAAGAACAAATCGATAAACCCAAAATTTGGCTAATTAACAGATATACCAAAAATGTTACCTCCTTGATATGTTAACTGTGGTTTAACATAAATTTTATCATCAATTAGTTGAATAACCTGTCTTTGAGAAATAGAACATTTGCCAAAATACAACTATAAAAAATCATCATCTTCTACATTTCTAATTTTAGATGTCAACTTTGTCATCAAATATATACTTGAGAATTTACTAGAGTATAGAGTTTTTGGCAATGAAAATTACTCAAATGCCCTAGCAAACATATCAGGAGGATACTTTTTTCATCAATAAACATTATGGAGTTAATTTAATTTCATTCTGGACTTAATTTCTGTTCTATAACAACACTTTTTCTTGTGATCAATTGGTAAAGAATTCAGATAGTGTATAGTGCAGCATGGAGGCAACTAATGCAGTCAATAATATTCAAATGGTTGTAAGAAAAAGGTTTTATGATGCACTTACCACCAAAATGATAGCTTTCAAAAGATAAATTTTTTTTTTCAAAATAAACTTTATAACATCCAAGTTGTCCAATATATCAGCAGGTTGAAGATATAAACAGCTTTCATAGATATTTGATATTATTGAGAAGATAAAAACGATTATTTTATTCAAAATTTTATTACACAAATTTTGGAATGAAGAAATGTTATCCACTTTCACAAAATCCTCCATTTCATCAGGCATAGTTTTTCTTAAAGATGGTAATGATTTAGTAGTTAGTCTTGGTGGTGCCAGTAGAGTCGGAATTTGACTTCAATTTACATATAAACGCACATATGGCAGGCTTGGACAAGAATGGTGTGCGATCAAATGCTATTTCTGACCACGCAATGATTTTCTTTGTTGGCATCATTACCATTAACAATTTTATTTAAATTATTGAAAAGAAAAAAATATAATATTTTTAAATTGCATAAACATTTTCCCAAAGAGTTGCAAAAAAAATTATTTAAAAAAATAACTTAAAAAAAAAAAAATGATAACTTTTTTTAAAAAAAAAGTTTTTCAAAAACTCTTTTTAAAAGCAGAAACAAATAATAATAATCATAAAGCAATTATATCATTTGAATGCAATCGAAAGATGTAATTTAACTTGTTATAATTTAAAGTAACTTAAAAAAATCTTTTAAAAATTTTTTAGAAAGACATTAAAAAATAGTTTCAAACATTTAAATTTATTATAAAAAATATGCCTACACAAAAAAAAGTTAAATATAAAATTTTTAATTTACACAAAATGCGTTTATTTTAATCAATCATTTGAATTAGTTTTGTATTTTATTTTTGTTTATGTTATTTTTGTATTTTATTTAAAGCTTTCGCGTAAAATAAAAACTAAAAAGAAAAGATTACATATATTATTTATAACATTTTGCATAATTTTTTAATTGCATTTAAATTGTTAAAACATCAAAACAGCCAATGTCAAATGGCAAAGAAAAAAAACTATAAGCGTAGTTAGTTACAACGTTTGATTGCACACCATACTGTCCAAGCCTGATATGGTGGTTATTTTGGTTTTAACTTTGTAAACTAAAACTTTTTTATAGTTTAGGCTAATGATCTTCACAAATAAAATTATTTGGGCTATCTGGATAATATTATTGAAAATATTATCTCAAGGTATAGCACTTATTCATCTTTTTTGTTCATTCAAATTTTTTTTATTTGGAAGGTAAAAAACTTTTACAGACTTTGTAACATCGTAGTTACCTCTGTATCCAGTGACACAACACTTAAAAACCATATTCTTCAAATCAATTATTTAGCTCTAAAAAGAAAGCAAATTTAATATAGATAAAATTAAAACTTATTGCATATTAAATTAAAAGACCACATCTTTTTCTGTAATGCGCCATATTGCAAATTATTAATTTGAAATGTATAAAGTATTTACTCAGCTGTCACTATATTAAGCCATGGAATCAGCTTTAAAAGATCTTTTTCTTTCCACCACGATGTCATTTGTGGCAATTTTTTTTTTTTTATAATTGATTATTATTACCAGTTCATGTTTATGTTTACTAAAGAAAAGAAAAACAATTAGAATCTGAATTTAAACATATTATATTTAAAAACTTACATTTCAAAAGATACTTAAAGATTTTCATTAGTTACACCTTGAAGTGAAATTGGTCAAAAAAATTAGTCAATCTTTAAAATTATTTTATAAAAGGTTTTTAATTACTAATTAAGTAGTAAATAAATAACAATTATTCTAGTAATTAGATGTTTGGACTAGTGAAATACATTTGAATCTAAAAACTGATGAAGCAGATTTGCAGATTAATGAAGATATTAAAGAACGTGATCATGAAGTTTAAATCACAAAAGAACAATATATAAGGCCATGTGCAAATTAACTGTTTAAAATGCTAGTAGCACCCATAATACAGGTCATTATTGACTGCGGTATAAAAAAAGATTAGAAATAAGTTAAAGAGTTTAATAGTGAACAAAATCCATACTTGTCGAAAGTACAACATTTACATCACTTTGATAACCGGCAGGATTTAGCATGTTCTCATTAAAATAGAATAACACAATCATTGTTTAGAAATGTTACATTATTTTCTGGGGCAGTCAAAAATAGTCAAAATCTGAATCACTTATTGCAAAGACAATAAAGTATTACAAAAATTAGCTAAAACATAATACAATCAAACTTTGTAATGTGGCCAAAAGATAAAGTTATTCTTACCTTAATTGCAACAAATTAGTTGTTTTTTTTTTAACTATTAGCTAATGATCAACATATAAATTTCAAAATCATTAGAACTAAAACTATTTTTTAAGTAGACAAAGTAAACTTATGTTGGTAGAGCAAAAAGATACATCTAAAGAAATAAAGTAAGAAAAATAAAAAGTAGACATGTTTATAATACATAATCTTTGCAGTAAATCATGAAAGATGACCTTAGCATCTCAAGATAGTAATGGTGAAACTATCAAAAGGAAAAAAGAAGATAAAAAGAAAAGAATATAATAAAAAATTGATCTTTAAAGTTGTTAACAAAATATAACAAAACTTATTATTAAATTTATGATCCTTCTTGTTAAAAACAATAAAGAAATCAAGTTTAATAAATTTTGATAATTATTAAATCACGTGCTTTTCT